ATTATATATACATTGGTGTTTTTCCCATGGGTGTCAGGTCCCCTGCAACTGGAGTTACAGACAGTTGTGAACTGCCATGTGGCTGCTGGGAGTTGAACCTGGGTCCTCTGGAAGAGCAGTCAGTGCTCTTAACCACTGAACCATCTCTCCAGCCCCAAGACCCATTATATTTACCTCCCATTCCAACTCCCCAGCCCTTGCCCTGCCCTCCTATAATCAGCTTACTCCAGAACTTGGGCCATCTGCATTCTTTGTTTTGTATTTTTTAATTAGCCAAAATTAAGGTCAGCTTCTAAGTTTTATTTATTTTATACTATGTGTACAGTGCCTGCATATGTGTACTGTGGACTGAAGTGGCCAAGGCAGCCAGAAGGGAGCACCAGATCCCCGGAGCAGACAGCTGTAACAGCCACATGGGTACTGGGAACTGAGCCATGGTCTCCTGAAACAGCAGCAAGTGCTGAGCCATCTCTCCAGGTCCCTGAGTTTTTATTTGTATTTTATTTTTTGTTTTTTTTGAGGCAAGGTTTCTCTTTGTAGCCCTGGCTGTCCTGGAACTCACTCTGTAGACCAGGCTGGCCTTGAACTCACAGAGATCCATTTGCCTCAGCCTCCTGTGTGCTGGGATCAAAGGCGTGCGCCACCATTGCCCCACTAAGTTCTTTCTTTTAGATAGGGTCTCATATAACCCAGGTTAGCCTTAAACTATGTAGTTGGTGTTCTGTCTCTACCTCTCAAGTGTTGGGATTACAGTGTGTATCACCAAGCCTGTCCAGTTGTTTTCTTTTTCATATTATAATTGCATCATTTCCTCCTCCCCTCTCCTCCCTCCAAACCCTCCCATATCCCACCTTACTTTCTCTCAGATTCATGACCTCTTTTTGCATTGATTGTTGTTACATGCATATATATGTATACACACACATACATATTTCTAAGTATAACCTACTCAGTCTGTATAATGTGACTTGTATCTGTGTTTTCAGGACTGGCTATTTGGTATCAGATAACGAAAAGGTGTACCCCTCCCTGGGGAAGAGTACGTCTCTTACTTTCAGCATTCCATAGTTCCCTTTAGTTCTTTGTGTAGGGTTGAGACTCCCTGGTCTTTCCTCTGCCCACTTTTGGACACTTGAGTTTTTAAAGAACTTTTTCCTGTTCTTGTATGTCTGGAAATGTTTTCTCGAGAGCTTTATATATGCAAGAAAATCTGTCTGGGTAAAAAACTGTGGGTTATATTTTCTTCTTAAGAACTATTTCTCTATGCTTTGAGTGCTGCTAGAAAAAAAAAGGTCAATTTTCTATTTTTGTGGGGGAGGAGGAAGGAAGAAAGGGTTTACATCATCCTACAGTCCATCGTCAAAGAAAGCCAGGGCAGGAACTCATAGCAGGACCCTGAAGGCGCGAGCTGAAACAGAGACGATGGTGGAATGCTGCTTAGTAGCTGGCTCTTTGTTTCCTTGTACAAGCCAGGACCACCTCCAGGGATGACCCTACCCAGAGTGAGCTGGGCCCTCACACATCACTCATTAATGCCATGCCCACAGGCTAATCTGATGAAACAATTCCTCAATGGAGGTTCTTCCCAGATGACTCTAGTTGTTTGGGTCAAATTGAAAACAAAGACAAAAAAACCCAAAAATTCCACAATTGACCCCTTGTCAAGTTGACACACAAATACAACACAAAACACCTTTCTTGTTTGTCCTCAAGATCATGTTAATATACGTATAACTTTGAAAGTCCCACAATCTTTAAAAATTTCAACATTTGGGCTGGAGAGATGGCTCAGCGGTTAAGAGCATTGCCTGCTCTTCCAAAGGTCCTGAGTTCAATTCCCAGCAACCACATGGTGGTTCAATTCCCTGAACCAAAGGTCCTGAGTTCAATTCCCAGCAACCACATCTGTAATGGGGTCTGGTGCCCTCTTCTGGCCTTTAGGCATACATACAGACAGAATATTGTATACATAATAAATAAATAAATAATTAATTAAAAAATTTTCAACACTTTAAAATAAAAGTTCTCTTTAAAAATCCAAAGTTTCTTAATTGGGGGCTCCTGTTATGTTAACTTTCTTATTCCAATAGTGAAGAACTAGGGCATAAGTATAACCATAGTAAAGCAAAACCAAAACCAAACAGTGTGCAAATCTGACATTTGGAACTCACTCAGGATTCTCTGGGTTCCAGAAAGCTTGTGAAGCCCACCTTTCCAGGTCTCCGACCCCAGCACACACAGCTTGTCCAGGAGGCTCAAGCCAGTTTTCTTTGCCACAGCTCAGCTAAGACCACAGAGGGAGTGGGGAGGTTTGAACCAGAATCTCTGTCTCTGTACACAGCACTGGCTGTCCCAGAACTTACTGTGTAGACCAGGCTGGCTTTAAACTCACAGAGCGCTGGGATCAAAGGCGAGCATCACGACGCACAGTGCTCCTCTTTTGTTTGCTTTGCTTTTTGTCCTTGCCTGTGATATTTTTTCTGAAAAGTGGTTCAGTAATCTTTAAAGTTCAGTAACACATAAGACAGGCCTCAGATGACTGGGGCTGTACTGATGTGCTGGAGCCTGCCACCGACCTCTCCCGCTCAGGCTTCAGGAGGGCTTTCCTGCAGCTTAACTAACTGAACACTTCTGGTTTCCTGCCTCTATGACTAGGTGCCATAGGCTGAGCTTTACCCATCCTTCATCCGCAGCAACTTTAGGCATTGCTTTTAACAGATGAGCACAGGTCACCAGAGAACCCTAAGGCAAAACCCAAATCCCACAACACCAGAAAGTCCTGGAATGGGATGTGGCCCCATGGACCCATCTCTAGACCTTTGCTCACCTACAGAGGACCCTCACATGCCTTTCCCTGACCTCTCATGAGATAATGGTGCCTTCTCACTATTGTGCCCCCGCTGCCTTCAGACCACTTATCACATGGCATTACCTTCTGCTTCTCTCTCCGCTCCTGCTATGTGATAAACTCCCCAAGGCAGAGAGACTGAGTGAACCGCTAGTGTCTGACATTGTTTATAGCATCAAAGAGGTACTCAGAAAGTCAGTTGAATGGGTTCCATTGATGGTTTTGATAGTTTTGTCTTCTCCTGAAGTGATGGGAAACCTTACTCCTCTTACTAGTTTGCCTCCGAGGCGTGCTGTGAGACATACAGTCTTCCCCTCATTCTGTCACCAAGCATCTGATGCCTCCATTGCCTCCACATTGGGACCTAGAAGGCAGAGCACTCCTGTGAGGGATTCTTCTCTTCTTTCGATTGCACTCTCTTTTCTGCTGGATTCTCACCTGCTCTGTGCCTCCCTTGTGAAAGGCATTCCTATCAAATTACCTGATGGGCTCACCTTGCCACTTCCTAAGCCAGCCTTCCTCACTGTACAGGCAACACTCCTGTCTAGTGGTTCTGCTACCAACTGGATCCATTCTCCTTAGTCCCTTTTGCCTCTGAGCTAGGTGGTTTACCTTCTTGAGCCTGTAGAAAGGCAGTGAGTTAAGCTGCCTTCTGAAGCACATAGCACTCCACTCGGAAGGAACATCCTCAGCTCTGGAGAGCTCCTTTAGAAGTCATCCGTGACCACCTATGCTCTGGTTACCTACCTCTGGAGCGGAGGCAAGTGGAGATGCTTGAGTATGCCAGTCCTATGCCCTCTGAACTACCACAACTGGGAGGTTATTTGATAGTTTTGTGAGTTTTCATGTTTTTTTTTTTTCAGAGAGGGTTTCTCTGTATAGCCCTGGCTATCTTAGAACTTGCTCTGTAGACCAGGCTGGCCTTGGACTCAGATCCACCTGCCTCTGCCTCTCAGTACTAGGATTAAAGGCGTGCACCACTGCCTGACTTTTTCATTTGTAGTTTTTTGTTTTTTTTCTTTTGTTGCCTGGTTTTCCAAGACAGAGATTATTTGTGTAGCCCTGGACCAGACTGGCCTTGAACTCAGAGTTTTGCCAGCCTCTGCCTCCCTAGTACCACCACTTGGCAGCAATTTTTTGTTGTTAGGGTTTTTTGTTTGCTTGTTTGGTGGGTTTTTTTCCCTGGTTTTTCAAGACAGGACTTTTCTGTGTAGTCCTACTGTCCTGGAACTCATTCTGTACTCCAGACTGGCCTCAGAAATCCGTCTGCCTCTACCTCCCAAGTGCTAAAATTAAAGGCATATGCTACCACTGCCTGGGTGTTTTTTGAAACAGGGTCTATATAGATCTGGTCGTCCTTGAATTCACTATGTAGATGAGGCTGGCTTTGAACCTCTGTCTCTTGAGTGCTTTGGTCAAAGCCATGTGCCACCATGCTAGGCCCTATGGTAGTTCTTCTGTTGGCCAGTTTGTCAGGTAGTGTACACTAGAGGTAGGCCCGTGGGAGACCAGCCCTCTCACCTTCCCTTATTATCTGTTCTCTATTCCCCTTCTCTCTAACCCTTTCCAGTGGCATACAGAATGCAAGCACCTGGTTCATCTGTGTCCCCCCCCCAACCGCCTTCTCCCAGGCCCTTGTCAGCAGGTTTGTGCGGTTCTAGTTCCTGACCCATATCTGCTTCTTTCCGGTGTTTGCTCTCAGCACACAGGAGGTGGCATAGGCCTTGAGACCCTTCCTAGCTCCGGTCCAAGTGTCATGCAGTTTCCTGCCTAGTAATGTACAGTACTGTGTCAGCCCTGACCCTCTTATCACCTAAACCTCACAGAAGGGTCTACAGTGCTTTCCTGAGCTCCATCTGCCATGTTCCAAAGGATGCACCTAAACAGGACACCAACTGTTGACAGCCATTGAC